TGGTGTTTCTTTTTATCTTTTGTGGTCAGTTGTATATTGATGCTTGGTTGTGTGGGGTTTTTGAATAGTGGTGTGAGGTGTTAAGGGGTGGAGTCGTGGGATGTTGTTGCACATCGACGGGGCGTGGTATAGGTGTGGGAGAGTGTTAACATTAACAGGAATGTGTGGGTTGTACGGATGTGTGAGTATTGAACAGTTGTGTAGGGGTGGTACAAGTGTGTGAGTTTTAAACAGGGATGTGAGAGCTATATAGTGTGTGGGGTGGTAAAAGTGTATGTGGTGGTAAAAGTGGTTAGGGTGGTAAAAGTGTGTGGGGGTGGTAAAAGTGTGTGGGGTGGTAAAAGTGTGTGGGGGTGGTAAAAGTGTGTGGGGTGGTAAAAGTGTATGGGGTTGTAAAAGTGTGTGGGGTTGTAAAAGTGTGTGGGGTTTTAAAAATGTGTGTGGTTGTAAAAGTGTGTGGGGTTTTAAAAATGTGTGTGGTTGTAAAAGTGTGTTAAAACTGAATGGGTGGTAAAGGTATGTGTGGTGTGTGAAATAGGTGTATGAGGTAGTGTTACTGGTGTCTGATGTGTGAAAAGGTGTATGAGTTTGTATAGCTTGGGTGGAGTATGGACCAGCCGGTTGTGGTGTGGCAGAGGTTTGTGTTTGTTAGGTATAGATGTGTGTGGCTGGTACAGAAGAGTGTGGATATGATAGAATTATGTGAGGTTAAAGGTTTTCGGGATGGCAGATCTATGTGGGGCTTAGTTACAGGTGTGTGGGTGTGTGGAACTTGTGTGTGGTATTGAACATGTGTGAGGTGATACTCTGGATAGTACAGGTGTATGGACGTATTACAAGTGTGTGGGGGATGTATACTTGTATTGGTGTGGTAAACGTGTGTGAGAGTTATGTGGGGGAAGTGCAGGAATGTGGTGGCTGTATAGTGGCCAGTTTGCAACAGAAGGTGTACAATATCATCTCGGATTCGATAAATCTGTTTAAAAGTTACTGTTGAAATTCATCGATTATTTATATTTAACCATTTAGCTAACTCATGACATTATTTGACTAGACAGAATTGATTTTTTTTTCTCACTATGTTTGATCGAAACAGCTTGAACAATTTTTTTAAAGTAAAGCGACTCTCCCTCTTATAAAGGCAAACTGAACTCAAGTAAATTTTGGGTAAAGACTTTTTCTAGGATAGCCTAGTCCTGCTTGGTAAATATTTAACCATGTGTGAATTATTGGGTTAATTCTACGACTGTTTGTTCCTTTACAACACCCACTTCGACTAGGATACAAAAAAAAAAGCAGCGCAGATATCGGTGGTTTTGTTGAGCGAGTTGTACACGCAGGGGTGGGGCGTTGATAAAAAAAATGCGGTTGGTTGGGGGTGGGGCGATGAAGAGGGGGGGGGGTGTAAAGAGGGAGGAAATCAATGGAATAGGCAGGTCAATTGTGATGAGATTGAGAGAGGTGGTATTATCCACCCACATAGACCTTCCAAAGCGAACTCGTGCTGTGTCACAGGTGGAGACTTAACACCTCAGTGTTTGTGTGTGTAAGTGTGTATAAGTGTGTGTATGTGTAAGTGTGTGTGTGTGTGCGCATGTGTGTGTTTTTTTAAATAGTTTAATGTGCTTACGATGTATTGATTGATTCATACCTTTTACCTAGCTGTGATCTGAGAGCATTTGAGCATGACTTATACTCGCCTGGTGCAATCGCCAGTCATGCATATATCTCGTCTGAGGTGAGCATTGGTGCACATGTGACATGCACGCAGTGCAGCTGGGGTGAAGTTTAACAGTGTTATGTTGCATTATAAACTGTATGGGTGTGGTGTAGAGCGATGGTATAGACTACTTCATTTTATTTGATCTTGTTTCTCGTATACAGAGTATAGAGGAAGTATTGTAATCGTGAAAAAAAATCACATGAAATTTTGACAGTTTTCACTTCTTAGTACTTCATCATATACGGAGTATAGGGGACTTATGTTTATCGGGCAAATATTCTAAATCCAAATTTATAAAAATTTCGACGTTTTACGTGAAATCGAGTCGGAAAATCTGGGCTTTGCAATTCTGTCCGTATGTCTGTGTGTGTGTTTGTCTGTAAACACGATAACTTGAATACCGTTACAGCTAGGTTGATGAACATTGATATATAAGTATTATATCAAATGTGTAGTTTTGTATACATTTTTCAGCGATTTCCGATAAACGGAAGTGGAACTCATTCTACTTTTGTTTTTTCAAAAGACTACAACTTGAGTACTGTTTCAGATAGATAAACACAATTTTACATATAAGTAAAAGATCTAATTGTCTGCCTTCTGTGAAAATTTGAGTAATTCTTGTTTTAGTGTAATTTACACTATTTCCGATTTCCCAAAAAACTAATATCCTGCAATATTATATAGATTTTGTTTGCCGTTCAAATGGTGCGCAAATCTTTTTTCTACGAGATTCTATTTATTTTTAAAAGTTTAAGTAATTAAAAATGGATTAAAAAGCATGCCTATTTCCCAAGTTGCCATCACCGATTGTGTTATACAAAAATATTCGAGAAAGTCTAGGGGAGATCACTCACGCTGTATTTTTTTTGTTTCATTTCACTGTTAGGAAAGGTAAATGAATGCGTAATCTAAACATTCCGTACTACAAAATGCTTTCTTTTTTTTAGCGGAATTTCCATTCTGGAGAATTGCGTTTATTAACCCTCCATTTCTGGATGTATGAATGTATGAATAAATGGATGGATGGATGTGTGTCCGCAGCTTTAAGTCGTATCTCCTCCTCAACGAAGCAATATCGATGACTAGTTACAAAAGCAATTATGTTAAGCAAGTTACGAGGATGAACATAGGCCATAAAAATTCCGGGTTTCTTTCATGGATTTCCCGGAAAAGCCAAAAAACCTCGAAAAAAAGCAGTTTTTGGTCCATATCTCGGCAACCAGACCACTTAGCGACTTAAAACATGTACCAATCGATTCCTGCCATAATTTAGAACAATATTGCCCGAGAAAGTTTTCAACAATATCCTTTCGTTCGGTCACAAAATTTTTTTGAATTAATTAAAATTTGGACCGAATTAGTAGGCATTTTATGCAACCACACCACACGCGTCACCACGTTCAATAGCTGCGCCATCACGTTCAATGGCTGCGACGTCACGTTCGGTAGCTGGGCGCGCAATGGTTTTTAGTCATGTTACTCTATTGTAAATAAAACATGTAAAATACTGAAAAAAAATTGATAAAAAACGTTTTAATAACTAACCAATGGTTTTACTAACCCTGCTCTTGATTTACGCTACGACAGAGCTATTTTTAGATAGCACAAGGAAATTGCGCTAAAATTGTCACTAGACTTTTTTTAATTACTTGTTTAAATATTTAACTCTGAGAAAAAAACAAAAAGTTGTCCGAGTGATTTTGTTCTAAATGACGTAACCCCCACAACGTATTGTTAAAAATCCTAACATTTATTGTACAAGCAAAATATGATATGGATATACGTGTGTTTGTCCGTAAGTGGTAATTCTTAGAGACACTGTGTAGTATAAGATTTGACAGTCGTGTTGTATGACGTCGTAGAGGTCTGTCAAAATTCAATGTTTTGTATACCGTACATTAACAATGATTTTTACTTTCTCTTAAACGGAGTGTAGGTGGGGAGTGGGTTCAGTATTGTAATCGTAAAAAAAAATGCAATATATATTTTAATAAACCTTTACATTTTACACCGGCTTGAGATGTAAAAAACTAAGTTTTTTTTAATCTGGTCTTTGTGTCTGTGCGTGTTTGTGTGTGTGTTTGTATGTGTGTGTGTGTGTATTAGTCTTGTATTTCATTTCTTAAGCCGGATTTCACAGGAAGCCGTCCCTACCCAAATATTTGTGTACACATTTAAAAAGAAAAGTTTGTTCAGGGGAGGTCACTCCCACTTAATTGCGTTAACGAAAGAAAAATATTCCTACCCCATGAAAGTTTTAGAACAGGGGTCTCCAAACTTTTCGGTCCGAGGGCCGCATTAACTATAAAATTACAGTTTCTTCCAGGCATGTCGTGATTTTTCTTAGCAAAGTTCCTCAGCCATCACCAACAAACGTTTTTTCCGTTGACAAAAAGATCGCCGCGGGCCGGATGAGAGAACCTCGCGGGCCCCATTTGGCCCACGGGCCGTAGCTTGGAGACCCCTGTTTTAGAACATGAAGGTAAAACGACGACCGGCCATGGGAACAGCGTTCCAGATTAACACTGGCATCAATTATTGTGCTGACCCGCTGAGAATGAGCGTCTGGCATTAGCAGGCACGGCAGCATGTGTGTGTGGGTAAGGGGGGGGGGGTAAAATACATGAAAGGATGACTAATATAATAATGTTAGGAGTTGTATAGTTTTAAGCAAGTGAGTGGCCGTTTTTCTAAGAAAACATGTGAGAAAAGTTTACAAATCAGAAATGTTTACAATACGATAGAGTTTCTAATGCAAAGGAAAAAATAAAACATAACTTGCTTCTACTGACAGGAATCAAAACTGATGTTCTAGGTAAATAGCTAAGCTCGATTATTTCACGATGCATATTTTGCTTGTTTCATCATAGAAGCACACAGCTACGCGCAAACACACACACACATACACACACACGCGCATATATATATATATATATATATATATATATATATATATATATATAACTTTGAATGAGGGGTACATTCTGGAGATAACGTGGTTTATATATATATATATATATATATATATATATATATATATATATATATATATATATATATATATTTTTGATACATTATTGTATTCATGTTGTATTCAAACCGCCTAAGTCAGTATATATTAGAGACTTGATTGTACTGCCTCATGGTCAGTTTTGATAACTAGTAAAAAAAAAGGTTCCAGCCGATGTAAAACGGTGTATTATTTATAGAAGCACTAGATCTGAAAAGCTTGCGTACATGTCAGATACAAGCGCAATAGTTTTCTAGAACTTACCTTTTTGTGTTGACTGTTAAACCCATAACTGCATGTAATTAAAATCACAATGACGAAAGCAATCCAGAATTAATTAAACCATTAGATTCTAATAAAAAAAATGTCATAAACTAAAAATAGATTTCTAAAAAATCCGCGTATTTAAAAAAAATACTTGTAATTTATTTTAAAACTATTTTTAAATACATGTTTCTACATCGGTTAGCTTCTTATACTACTACTCTGACGTAGTAATGAATGTATTTTATTCTCTTTTGAAAGACACGAACGTCATATAAAATGCTCAATGGTTTGTTGAAACGCATGAAGTCTAAAGACGGGCGGACTAGTTAAACCTGGTGAGGGGAGATAAGGTTCAGCGCGCCGAGAAACGAGGCCCCGTTTGTCGCCCCTAGTTCGTCTATTGATCGCTCGCTTCGTGGGTCGCGCGAGATTGGGAGTTTGTATTCAGTGCACTTGATTTGTTGGGGCGGGAGAATGGTTGACGTCTTAAGCAAGTGTTGAGTGGTGTGTGTGTGTTTGTGTGGGTGTGTGTGTGTGGGGGGGGGGTCATATGTAACCAGGGGTCTACATATGTTTAGATGGAAAGTGGGGGGAGGGGGCGCATGGATGGGGACTAAAGCAGATGGAAGATGGGAGGAAAGGTAATGGGGTCTACGTTTGGGGGGGGGGGGGGGATGGGGGTTGGGGTTGACGATTTGGTTGAGTGATGAGGGGGGGGTGAGGGGGTCATGTGAGGTCAGGTGTGACAGAATAAATGACCCAAGACAAAAATATATCAAAGCAAACGATCACGGAATCTACAACTCTAGTGCTATAGAACAAACACACCAACGCGGGTTATAAGGCTACTGAGTATTATGAAATGTTACGGCGACACAATTGGATATGGCCGTTTAAATTCTTTTCAAACGAACAGTTTCTTTTTTCCGTGTTACCCATAAAATTGAACAATCCTTTTTAATCCAGTACTTTAAAATATAGTTATCGATCACTGGTTTATTGATCTATCGACTTTTGATAGTTTATCAGTAGACGCTAGTGAGCAAAAATTGATTTTAAAAAAAAAAAAGGCGTGTAGCATACAAAAAAAAATGTTAACGACACTTGTCTACATACACTGTGTAACTACACACAAGCATACACCGTGTCACTACACACTCACATACACTGTGTCACGACACACAAGCATACACTGTGTCACTACACACAAGCATACACTGTGTAACTACACACAAGCATACACTGTGTAACTACACACAAGCATACACTGTGTCACGACACACAAGCATACACTGTGTCACTACACACTCACATACACTGTGTCACGACACACAAGCATACACTGTGTCACGACACACAAGCATACACTGTGTCACTACACACAAGCATACACTGTGTCACGACACACAAGCATACACTGTGTCACGACACACAAGCATACACTGTGTCACTACACACAAGCATACACTGTGTCACGACACACAAGCATACACTGTGTTACTACACACAAGCATACACTGTGTTACAACCCACATGCTTACATTTTGTTATCTGTAGTTTGGTTTATAGGACAATAAAAGTTTGCACAAATCCGCGATATTCTACTTTCTTATCTTAGAAAAAAAAGTATTTTTTATTTCGATCGAATACTTTAATTTTTTTCATTTTTTTTTTCAATTGTCCAGATTTTATTTATCTTAAAACATAACCATCTGTCCCTTTCTTTTCTTGTCTCCTGCTAACTCAAAGTGTTTGCAGCGCTTGATTGGTAATTGTTTCCTATATTTACATTCAGTGCACTCCATACGAAGGACAATTTTTTCTGGTGCTTTTAGCCTTCTTTCTAAAAACTGGCTTGGACTGACCACCATAACTGCTCTGCTTTCTGTCATAACGTCTTTTACCTTGGGCATACAAAGAGGCCTTTCCTGCTTTGTACTGAGTAACTTTATGTATTGTGTGCTTTTTGCATTTCTTGCCCTTGCAGAAGGTGCGTCTTTGTTTTGGAACGTTCACCAATTTGAAGTTACACGGAAAAGGAAATGGATTTGAAAAGGATCGAATACTTTAAAAGTTCAAATAAAAGAGATAAGCGTTAACTTATCTAAAATTCTGTTTTCACGGTCATATGCACCATTATTTTTCGTATGACAGCCTAGGTATGTATGTGCTGTTTGTATATATATATATATATATATATATATATATATATATATATATATATATATATATATATATATATATACGGATGTCGCTCTTATTTCCCCGCCAAATTACTACCCACTTAGTTTACTGATCTTCACACACTAAATATTACCGCCCTTATCCCTGTCGGGACATATATGTTACGTTAAGTGGGTAATGTTTAAATAAATCTTTCTGAGGACTCGTTAGCTTAATGCATTCACTTTGAAGAATTTAAAAAAAACCAGTTCAATTTGCATTTTGTGAATAAAATCCTTCCTGCTAAAAATCGATTATTTCTACGCATGACCGTCTAAGTGTTTGCGGGTGATAAAGAACAGAATCGGTGCACGAAAAAAGACAAAACGTGTACGGTGTCGCATGAAATAATCGGCAGTACAAATTTTTGTTTGCGTACAAATTGAATGTTAGAACTGTCATCTGAATAATGCCAATAGCACGGACAATATTAGCTGGCCTAGGGAATGATAAGTGTATGATCTGGGCATATTTCCATGTTCCTAACCAATGGCTTTAAAAACGTCGGATAGTTTATATACATACACCTATATATATATATATATATATATATATATATATATATATATATATATATATATATATATATATATATATATATATATCTTCAAATAAGCAAACGTTTTTATTTATGTTTGTGGGTATTATGGGGCTCTAGATGGAACCTATTGAAGATTCTTGATTCTTTGAATAGATTATTTTTTGAGAGTAAAGCTGTTTGTAATAAATAGAAAAAGGTAATCCATAAATGACGTCACGCTTTTTTTTGGATGAATTTTACCTCGACTCTTCCATTTCATCCACACATCGTTACAAAAAGCCAGACCCCCCCCCCACCTATCCCTGAAATGGCGTCATAACCTAGCTTAGATCCCCCCCCCTATATACACACATACACAAAATTACTGTTGAAATTTTCTTAAAACGTGGAAACTTTTTTTTCTAAAATCTCGACTAAGATCGGTCAACATAGAGTATTTTCATCAATTTTTAGTCCAATCTATTAAAACAGTGTACTAAAACAGGAAATAACCAAAAGATACGTTTTCTAACATTTTTTTTTATAATGCAAAAATGTGACTTTCTGAACCCTCTCCCCACCCCCATCCTCCCCACTAGACATAATATAACGAAATTACGAAACCCCCCCCCCCCCTTTACGATTGTGACGTCATTTATGGACGAACCCTTATGGGTTAGTTTAGAGTCTGTGGTACCAGGATGTGGTGGGGAGGGGGGGGGAGTGAGGGGGTAGGGACGGATAAACGTGATTGGTTAATTGAGACTAATTAGACCCACCCAATCCATACCCTCAGTCGTCATTAGGTTCCTAATAAAATAATTCGCAACAGTTCTTTTCATTCTTGACGAACGGCGACGAAAATATATTAATATTTTATTTCATTTGAACCAGTAATTAATTACTGTTGATTAGTGGCAATTACCACAATTGACATGACAATCATGACTGTTTGAAAATGTATTGTTATTGGTAAAAAACAAAAGCTTTGTGCGTAAGCACCCGTTTATTTTTTATTGTATTTTTATTCAATTGTTAAAAAGTCAATTCATGTAATTAATGCATGCAAAAGCGTTAATTCATTAATTTTATTAATGCATGCTAAAAAGTGTATTCATTAATTATTGCATGCTAAAAAGTTAACTCATTATTTACTGCATGCTAAAACGTTTACTCATTAACTACTGCATGCTAAAAAGTGTATATATATATATATATATACATATATTTATATATATATATATATGTATATATATATATATATATATGTATATATATATATATATATATATATATATATATATATATATATATAATATATATATATGTATATATATATATATATATATATATATATATATATATTTATATATATATATATATATATATATATATATATATATATATATATATATATATATAAAGAACGGAAAACAAATAGCGAAAAAGATACGAACCTGATGCAACGTGTAAAAACGACTTAGAGCATTGTCTGAAACAGGAAACTACTGGCTCCTACACTATACAGTGTGTAGTTGTAAATGGTGCACGTCCGTCTACACGGTGGAAATGAAACACCTGGTTGCCTGCTCCATAATTTAACACCTGCTTTGTTGTATGGTGACAATGAGTAACAGAACAAGCTGCTGCTGAAAACATGTTACACAATTACAATACAACATTACCAACTGTGGAACGCACTACATAAAAAAACAACCCAGTACAGCATCGAAAATTGACCTCAACACATCAAAACAATAAAACTTACTACATCACCAATGATTAAACTCTCTGCATCAACAACAATTGAACTCACTACATAACCAACAATTGAACTCACTACATCACCAATGATTAAACTCTCTACATCAACAACAATTGAACTCACTACATCACCAACAATTGAACTAACTACATCACCAACAATTGAACTAACTACATCACCAACAATTGAAATCACTACATCACCAATAATTGAAATCACTGCATCACCAACTGAACTCATTACATCAACAATTGAACTCACTACATCACCAACAATTGAATTCATCACAGCACCAATATATCACCAACAATTGGATTCACTACATCACTAACAATTCAACTCACTGCATCATCAACAACTTAACTCACTACATCACCAACAATTGAACTCACTACCTCACCAACAATTGAACTCACTACCTCACCAACAATTCAACTCACGGCATCATCAACAACTTAACTCACTACATCACCAACAATTGATCTCACTACATCTCTATCAATAGTATTTGACTCACCACTTTATCAGCAATAAAACAGTGAGTGTTCTAGTTCAGTTTACACTGGACTAAATCAAATACTGTGTGAATGGCAGAATTTACAAGATAAATTAATATGTTTCAGGGATAGTGCTCATAATATCTAACGCTAACGCAGTAAGATTTCTCCACCCTTCACCTCCTCCCTGCTTCTTCTTCCAGCCCCCCCCCCCTAATCCCCCATCCCCTCCCTGCTCCTTCTTCTAGACCTTCCCCGCTCCCCTTCCATCCCCTCCCTACTCCCCTTCCATCCCCTCCCTGCTCCCATTTCATCCCCTGCCTAA